ACATCATTCGCATGTAGTCTTTTAGCAAATAGGAGCAAAAAGATTTATATAAACAATATCATGACAAAGGAAGCGCACGGAATGCGAACGGGCTGTCACGGCACGTCCCGCTGCTAGGAATTAAAGGATCCCAAAGCATCGCCACACAGCTGGGAGTTTCTGGAGAAGGTCTCCAGTGTTTCGTGTTTCACCCTGTTTATTTGGTTTATGTTTTAAATGTTTATTGGAATCCTTAATGATATGAATCAAAAAGGAGATGTTTTGTTGTTGTGATATCAACAGCAGGGTTACTCATATACACTAAGTGGCCAGTTTATTATAGAATAAAATAGAATAGAGAATAGAATAGAAAAGAATAGAGATATTTTATTGATCCCCATGGGGGTCCCGTCTTGTTCCCTGTGACAAATACAGATACATATGTAGGTAAACTTAGAAGTCACAGTGCAGGGTCAGCCAGCATCCAGCCCCCCAGGAATAACTGGGGGTTAAGGACCTTGCTCAGGAGCTCAGTAGCGATATCAGTGTGCTGGGTCTAGGAATTGAACCAGCAACCTTGATATCATGAGTACAGAGTCCTAACTCACAGAGGCACTTGCCGCCCCCTACACCTGCTTGTTGACACCAAGAGCCTGCCCTTCCAAATCAAACTCCTAGTCCAGAGGTTCAGTTACTGTTTGATTAACTATTGAACCGGACAGAAAGCACGAATTAGGCACTTCTGTGCATGGTGTTATTGGTGGTGTCAAACATGGTGCTTCCAGCATCTCAGAAACAGCCACCCTCCAGGGATTTCTGAGTCGTATATCATTTAGAATTTAGAGACGATGATGTATGAACAAAGAATGTCCAGTCATTGACAGATCTGCGGGTGAAAACACTTTGTTAATGAGCGAGGTCAGAGGAGAATGATCACAATTGTTAAAGCTAATAGGAAGGCCACAACAGCTCAATTTGACAGTGGCTTCATAGACCACAGAACCCGGCAGACCTTAAAATGGTTCTGGAGGCAAATGGAGGTCCAACCTGGTACCAGAGAGGAATAACTAAAAAGCCGCTGAGCGTATATGCAGAGGAACTACAGTACAGTAAATATATCATCACGGTGATAGTCAACCTGAAATCAGCAATCAGTCTCTCGACCTGATGTCACGCTGCTGTCTCTGTCACTTAATCCTCATCCCGCTTCGGCTCAAGGAGCCAAATTAAATATGACGTGTTAATTTTTTTAGGAACGTTAAATGGAATTACATCATAAAATGGGCCTTGTGGGTTGCAGAGCACCACCCAGCATTCGTTAATCAGATCTGAGAGGCCTTTCCAAGTGCTGAATGTCGAAAAACACTATTTTACTGTCATGGGGCACCTGTTTCTAAAGACCTACCTTTTGGCTTTTCATCATTTTACGCTGACTCTGTGGCTATATAAATATTTACTTCATCAACAGATAACAAAATGTAGCTAGTAACATATTTTACTTAATTTCCCTAACAATTAAACGTGTCTCATTTACACAATGTCTTATAAATGTGTCATTTTGACTTTCAGAGACGCTGAAATTTGCTTAAAGCATTGATTGCTGTGTGCTGAGTAAGATCTGGGCTTCAAACAGGAAGGGTGAATACAGGCACATTAGATGAGTCTCGAACTGTGACTGGTACAAAGGAGACACTGCTAATGCTGAGCCTAGCATCAGACCCCACTGTAATGTCCCCACCCAAATTAGCTGCCACTATTGGTATTTGTACCATTTTGTGTACGCTAGATTACACTAGCACACACCTTTAGTAACCTAAAGGTTTACATTTTACACGAGGAACAAATGAATAATAAAAAATTAATAAGCAAATAAAAATAAATAAGCAAATACATTTAGTAAAATGTCTATAAATAAGCAAAATAAAATAAAAATAAACAGGTATACAATGCACAAAATGAAATAAAACACAATAAAAGGTCAAGATATAAAAGTGTCAACTCATAGAAACTGGACATAATAACATATGATATTGATTGATCAATGAAGTTGATCTCTATTTATGTCACATGACTTGCACTAACAGCCGGTGGGCTCTATGTGGATAAGCTGCCGTCCGCGGGGGTCCCCCAGGTAGCTCCATCTTCCTCCCCACCCCTTGGCACCAGTCAGCTGAAACTGGCTTGGGTTGGCATGTTTCAGCTTTACTCCGCCTGTCAACAGGTGCCTCATTCTTCCTGATCCCTTAATCACCGTGTCCTTTGACTTTTGTCTTCCCACAGACAGAACGGGAGTGAATACGGTCCCTTTGAGCTGGGAGAGCGCGGCAGCGAGCGCGGCAGGCCGGCACACGAAAGCCCGTGGCTGCCATACTTTTATATATCTGTTACGTTTCGCTCCCACGATGAAAGTGCTGTGTTAGCTTTTCCCCGCGATGCTGCCAATCACATGACATCGCTTTTGCGGGGTCAACTCAGCCAATATTGCTAAAATAGGCTAATATGCCAACCAAGACGTTTCATTGACTTGGTTTCAAGCTTTTTATTGTAATAAGTTACTTTTTTACTTTTCTAATGCCTGGTCTAATAAATCTGTACCTTAAGGTCACACAAACCAGGAACGTTATTAGTCCTGTGTACCCATTGTCCCTTTGTTTTTTCGAATTTTATTTTTTGAAAGTGGGCTTAAAATGTTCAGGGCTCAGCTGTTAAAGTTATAGTGGCTGGCTGGAGACAGTAGCCACCCTGAGAAATTCAGCGACGAGCCATTCTGCCTGCTTGGTTGTGTCTAGCCACGCAACACGTCAGCCTCTGCTTCTGCACGCAACGTGAAGACCTTGGGAAAAACAAAAAAAGGAAAAGAAACAGCCCAGTAAGCCAACTCTTGGGGAGAGTGGAGTACGTTCCGTGGAAGCGGCAGCTGGGTCATGGTTGCGTAAAGTCAAACGGGCCAAAAACGTTTGTTGTTGCTGCTGCCGTTGCGTGTTTTATTGCGCGGGAATGAGATTTCACGTATGCTTCGCTTTGATGAGAAGACTGCCTGGAGTTTCACAGCTACAGACACGCATGTGTGTGTGCTCTTTCTGAGGAATACCGAAGTAACGATCACCCTGTGTTACATGCCGTCCCCGTCCCCCCATTCGATGATCCATCCATAAGGCAGCTGCATCCCATGGAGTTACTTGTACTTCGTTGATGATACTGTGCAAAATGTCAGTCCCGAACATCTCAGCTAAGGTGCTTGCATGTTCAGCGTTGTCGATATTCATATTTGCATGTGTCATTATTTCTTAGCTGGTTGTCCCAATCTAGACAAGAAGGATGGTAATAATGACTGTCAGTGGGGGGGGGGGGGGTTGTATTCCTGCTGTAGTCACTCGTGTCCCAGCGAATGCAGGTATCGGCTCTTAACCAGACTCGTCTCTGGAAAAACATCCCACCGTTATAAGGGATTAGTTGCTGGCACAAACCGTGCAAGTTACTGGAGAAGGACACCCCCTCTGCAAATGATGAAGCAAAAAATTGACCTGGGGGGCTTTTATTGTCCATCAGTTCCGGGTAGCACCAAGGCTGTCAAGACAGCTTTCGAGCGTCACGCCAGGATTCGGTGACTCCGCCAACATTGTGTAATTACATTCTTCCAGCTCGCAAGAATAACATGACGGTGCAGATAAATCGTGCAGTTCCGCCCATAATTAGTTTATTGACTGTTTGTGGGCATATACAAAGGGTTGACACCTTTAAGTAAAGCAGCTGGTCATGTTGTCATTAATGCAATTGTATTTCATGGGAGTAATTCAGGTTAAGTAACTCTGGATTACTGCGGAAAGTTCCCTCATGGGACTGGCCGCCTTCAGGTTACAAGGTAATGCTGTTTTCCCCATCTACTTACTTACATATCCTCTCAGATATGTAAGGCAGATAGACCTTTGCCATATGTCGTCATAATTGTCTGAGGCTTTAGTCTACACCTGGATACCTCTGTGGAGTAAAAGCTAACACGCGTCTGTCAAGCCTGCTTTTTGTAATACTGCCGTATTTCTATATTGCAGAGTTTGCAGTAAGAGTTTCTATATATAGAAAGTCTGGCTGGGATTCTGTCTTACTAAGAAAAAAATATGGACTGAAAATGGCACCACACAAAATGAGAAATATTTGCCTTGACAATTAGGGAGTGTGTTCAATTTATCTTGCTACGCCACAACTGTACCTATGATTGTCTACACACACACACACACACACACACATATATATGTATGTATATTGTTTTGTTTTGTTTGAAGCTCCAAACTGAAATGCAGGGTTACCTTGGGTATTATCCTCTGCCACTTATCCTCACCACTTCTTCATTCTGCCACCAATTTGCGCTACATGCTAGCTTAAGTTAATCACCCGTGTTCTGTTTTCTGGGATCCCGCACTGCATTGTCATCCACTGGAGCACCAGTGTTACAATATTTATTTTCATGGCAAACATTTTCACTCAAAGCGAAGCACTTAGCGTACAATCTCTTCACACGGCTGACTGTTTGCCATAGGAATTCGCCCCAATTACTGCCCTCAAGAGTACAACAGGAGTTTCCCGTCTGGTCTTTGAGCAGGCAAGCTTAGCGGTTGCACCATCTAATTCCTGTACGTTTTGCAACCTTTGCTGCAGTTTCAGTGTTCATCATCAAGGATGCTTGCAGCATGACGAATGTACGCAGATTGAACATTTTCCAATGAATATCACATGCGATGAGCAATCAATCGCAACGAATGAACTGGTTTTCTGATTAACATGATCTGAACTGCACCACTGTGTAGCAAAGGGACCCAGGTAGCATGTCAAGCCACACATTCCTGCTGAATGTGGACTCAGTTCCAGTAACACTTAGGCAGCCCAAAGTCAGACAGGACAAATAGCACCTGGCCTAGAGAAGTACACACTGGGCCAGCGGAAACCGGTGGTGCTGTTGCGCATGGGGGGAGGGGGTGTTGGGTTTCTACCTGGTTTATTTCCGTCCATCTTCTACCCACTTACAGGGTCACAGTGAGCCTGGAGCCCAACCCAGGAAGCACAGGACACAATGCTGGGAACACCCTAGGTGGGGCGGCGGCCTATTGCAGGACACACACAGTCACACGCACACACACACACACACACACACACACACAATTTAAATGGGCAGTTTAAAGACACCACTTTGCCAAAGCAATTCTGTGGACTGCGAGAAATCTAAAAAATGAGGGCGGACATGCAAACTTCACACACACACACACACACACACACTCTCTCTCACAGACCTTATTTTTGTGGGAATGGTCCATTGATTTCTATGGGCAAATCTCTAATTCCAACAATGACAGCCTTAACCCCTACCCAGCCCTAACCTTAACCGTAAGGAACCAAACAAAATACAAGACCTTTGGTATTTTTAGTTATATTTAGTTGTATTCACTTTAGTTTTTATAAAGTTGATATTTTCTTGTGAGGACCAGATAAATATTCCCCACAACGAAAAATAACAGATTTCTATCACATTGTGTGGATATTTGGTCCTCACAACATTTTATATATATACACACACATATATAAAACACACACATATTTTGTAGTCAGATGAAACTGTTGCTACTTTTATTATGCTTTGCAGGTTACTGTGAACTGGGTGAAAATAATAGTACTAATCTCTGAGCATTCATTCAAAACAACACATATCAACTAGTGACAAGCCTTTTCTGAAACACTGATTTCTAAATAATTGTGAGCTTGTCTAATTTGTGACTCATCGAAAATATAACCAAGGCCTCATATTTTGATATTTTTAATAGTCAATGATTAATTTATTAATATTTTGATAAGAGGATTATTACAGAATAGAAAAAAACTGAACTTCTTGAAATACTGAGTTCCATTAATCCCACATTATCTATCTTTATGGTATTCTGCTGATGTCCTTAAAGGTCATCATGGTCACAGTAGGTTTTCATGATCATTCTGTGGCAAAACGCACATTAATTGGGCTTGATCTAGGTCACTGTTGATGACCTTTATATACTGTACCTGTAGATGTCTTGAAATCACAATAAATACCTGTAGATGTGTTGAGGTTACTGTTGTCTCATTTGTACCAATGTGGTGCCAGAGCCAGTGCTGGACTTTTTCCCAATCCGGAACTGGTTCTGCACGTTTCCATCACAGAGGACTGGCCCTGAGCCAGAAAGAACGGCTCCAGCACGGCACCACAGAAAAGTTCATCTTGGAATTTGGCACCATAACGTCAACGAGAGAGGGGCGGGCTGTTGTGTCCAAACCTTCTGCATACCTGCTAAATTTAATACATATCCAATATAGTTTTGTCTAATATCCCTGGTGCCAGTAGTGAAACAACCTTCCAGATTATTAGCGAAATAAAGTTACATCTTTTTGTTTATTCTGTGGAAAATGAGAGATCGATTTGATGGCCAGATTTCATAATAAATGATAAACATGTCACAGACCGCATAAATAAAATATTGTGGTGCTTGAGTGGCAAAGAGATTATGAGGTGGACAGCAAATTTCAGTTTTTAGACTTTTTTATTGCGCGACCCATAAAAGGACAGCAAACAAGAACAAACTCACATGGACAAACGGGGAGCCTTTACAGAGAAGAAAAGTTTATACAGGCAGAGCGTGTTCATACTCTGAAAACTTTTTCTTTGTTCGGCAGCTAAAAAAAACTCATCTAAAACAGATCAAAATAAATCTAAAAAACTGAATACATTTTGAACCTTTACTTCACTCTTACTTCTGCCTACATAACATTTCCTTTCCATTCTTTTTTGAAACCGGTGGGAACCGCGTGCAGGTTCTCAAATGGCACCAAGCGAGAACCAGCCCAGCACCGGCACCGGCACTGCGCTGGTGGAAGTGAGGCATGTAAGTACATATAGATAACTTGAGATCACGGTTAATGCCTGTAGATGTGTTGCGATCATCGAAGATGGCTGTAGATGTGTTGAAACTGCTGTAATGAGATGAAATGCTATTTCCCCATTTGCATAACAATGTGCTCAGTTACATTGGAATGCTTCTCTTTGCCCTCCCCATCTTGCTCTCCATGAGACACATAGACATATGCAGGTGAAATCAAGTTTGTAGATACCATTAGATGTCTTGAGATCATGCTAAATACCTTTAGATGCCTTTCAACTGTCCCTCCCACCATTTCCTGCTCCAACACCTCCCACCTTCCCTCCCTCACCACAGGGATCAGTAAAGACTGTGTTCACTTGCTCCTCGGATGTGAGCTGACCGTACTGTATACAGTTGTTCATGTGACAGTGAGCAGTGATTGAAGGTCAGCCACAGGTGACCTACAGGTGTCATGACAAAGCACCTGCTTTAACACATTATTATTGGCCTTTGGCACAAGGGGCTTGTTCTCCTTACATCCTAGTTAAAACGGCTTTGCTGACAGGGTTCTCTTCATAAAGGTCTCATGTGAACAAGTCAGCATTGTCCTACATATGTACTAACAGTGATTATACCTTTTTGGCGGGGTTGAGAGATGTCGCAGTGCAAACTGGGTCAAGGTACTGTGCATAACAGTAGGGAACTGTTTCTTTTTATTCAGCTCCCCTGTTTCCTAATCTGCTGATGGAGTCTCTTGTAACAAAGCGACACTAATGGCATTGCCGTTATTGTACTTTGTGAGCATTTTTGTGGTGTCATAAGGGGAGCAGTAGGAGGCAATACCCTGGCTCTGGCAGCCCCCCCCCCCCCCCCCAGCATCCCAGCAACAGCGCTGGCCCAAATCCTGCAATTCTCACAGTGACAAGACAAGAAGGTTTCAAAGGGGCTGCAGGAACGGGGCCCTCCTTTGTATGGGACTCCGTAAGAACTACTCAGATCTGGATTCCATCATCCATTGGGTTCACCGTAATCTGCCCGAGTGGGCTTTGCCCCTTGACTGTCTTCTGTCCCTGAACAGTGAGAAAAGGCCACTATACCAGGGATATAACACACACACACACACACCCCCCTCGCCCCTGGCCTCAGACCTGTTTTCATTTCTCATTTTGCGTATAATGACAAATCTAATCCCTTTACAATTGCTCTCCAGAGTGCTCGAGTCTCCATAAGCCACATGTAATTCAATAGGCCGGCCGGGCCGTGCTGTGGTCAATGGGGACTGAAGGCGCTAACGCGAAATTGGAGTTTTTGGTAATCTGCGGTTGTATCTTTTCTTCTCGTTGGAACCCTTGGGGGGGAGGCAGGAAAAAAAAAATCAAAGCATGCTGAGAGAGAAGCGTCCGTGTTTAGCTCTTGAGCTGTGGTGCGGAGCGTTTGACTGAACGTGTGGCCATTGTGTGAACATCTCGGATTTGGCGCACTTTTTTTTTTGGTTAGTTAGAAGGTTGTTTCTGTTTAGGAAAAGCAAAGAGTTTAAACACACATTAAATGTGGGGGTGGGATGTGTGTCTCTTTTATCACATCAGACTTCAAATTGATGTTACATTGGCTTTTATTTAAATAAAGCAGACCTTGGATGAAAATGTGGGATAGGTGTGGATCTCCTACGTTTTTCACGTCGGTTTAGGATTAGCTAGCATGTTAATGATGGGCTGGTGTCACGCCCAGGGTCTCCCCTGCCTCACTCCCCGTGCATGCTGGGATAGACTATGGGCTTGGCGAGACCCTATGCTGGATATGCCTCTATGGAAGATGGATGGATAGATGAAAGCATGTTGCATAAACCCATCACTCTAAAAACGCTCTACAGTACATCAGAATGATGGCCTTTGGCCACGAGCTGATAGGTCTTTATCAGTCAGTCTCCTACCCCTCCCACCCAAAGTGCCTCTTCCTCAAAGTCACTAAGATCCTGATCTTCTAGTCATGGCAGCCAAACTGATGGGATGTTAACAGCTTTATTAATTCAAGAACAGCATCTGTGTAGACATATTTGATTCCAGTGTCCTTTTTTCGCTCATAAATGTAAGGTCGTATATTATTTTAGCAGTTACCTGCATTACTGCATCCCCAACTAAAGATGGTAATATGTATGTGTTCCCTCCTCCCAGACTGAGGTACAGTCTGATATGTTTACATTTACATTTATTTTGTGGATATTATTGTCCAAAGCAACGTATACAAACACACAGCTGAATTATAAACATACAGCTGTCAAGGAATCGGTTATTAAGTGTGGTTAGACTGAGCTTCCAATGAATATCCAGATACAAAAGAAGCAGTACTGGGATAAGATATATACAGTAGACCAGGGTTATTCAAATCACGGTCCTCGAGGTCTGAGCCCTGCTGGTTTTCCAGCCTTCCTTTACCTGTGAGCCAGGTGTGAAGCCTCTGACCAATCAGAATCAGTAATAATTAAACTAACTACCTGGGAGAACTGAAAACAAGGCCTGGATTTGGAATGGAGGTCCAGATTTGAAGAACCCTGCAGTAGACAGTTAGGTGTCGATTATACTAATTCCCAAAATATTTCCAAGTTACGGCCAGGGAGAGTGACAAAACCGTGTCAGATGGCTTCACGGGTATGTTCTGTTCCAAGGCTGCTCCTTCGGAAGGATGGAAACGTTTCGCTGTGTAGCTTTCCAGGTTAGACAGGCGCAAACAGCCCGAAAAGCCAACAAACGCTGGCCTGGGCCCTTTGATATATCTGTTTGAGTAAACTTCAGCTTTTCCATAGAATGCAAAGCGTTAAATTAATTCATAAAGTCCTTTGTATGTCAACAAAGACGCCAGGGTTTTCACTCCAGCGATGATGACAGATTATTTTGCGCAAATGTTTGTCCAGGTGTTTTAGGCCCGCAAAAACCGACATAGGAAAGGGTGCGTCAAGGTATTTTACCCTCATGACAGTGGATTTCTTCGAGACGTTTGTGTGATAAAGGGAGCCGCCTTGGAAAAAAAAACGAGTTGGCCGCGCATTCGGAAAGGGCTGGTTCTGCTGCGTGGTACACACGGCGCGCTGCACACACACAACGCTGAAGAACTGGCATCTGTTCCCCTTAAATGTTTACACAAGCCTTTCAAAGAGAGGAATTCCCAGTGCCCGGTGAGATTACAGCACTATAAATGCGGAAAAACCCACCTCCGCCACATGGCCGCATGCAAGTCCGACGCCCCCGTTTGATTCTGCGATCTGCATCCTGTTTGATCTTCCTTCCAGGCCAGTGCTGTGGCTCGTTTGAACGCGATGAGTCACTCGGTCTGAAGCTCACAAAACCGAATGGGTTAAATCTCCATGACCTGAGAGTAAGGTGTCTAATTCCAGAGAAGGATAATAAAGGTAACACCCGGGAGTGTCCCTTAAGCATCCCCCCTATATATACCACTATAACACCACTGTCCCTTATGTGCTGAGGGCTTCGTAAACAGGGACCAGTCTGGGCCCAAGTCGGCCTTTTCGCTCTTCCAAAGCCCCTCTTTCAGGGGGGTGCAGATGCGGCCTGCTTGAGACTCAGCAACCTGGGAGACGGGCCACGGGTCACACCCCCGTCGCATGGGTGCTTTGTTTTGTCTGCTCCTGCTCCATGTGGGCGGGGCCTGCAGGTAGAGTCTGACTGAACCTGCCAATCGGTCCGCGCCGCACGGCAGCCAAGAGGCTGCCCCAGGCCGCCGCCCACCGCGCCGCCTGCAGGTTTGATCGCGACCCGCCTGTCAGACTTTTAAAGGGGAACCAGCTAAAGATGTTGTAAAAGACAAAATCATTAATGGTTTTGCCTCTGTTTGTCGGCCTGTTTTTTTTTTTCCACCACGGCTTAATTTATACGTAACCTGCTTTCTCCTTTTTTAAGTGTTTTTTTTTTTTTATGACGTTGGATCATCGAGACTTTTATTACACACACAAAAAAAAACATCCATCACAAACACTTCGTGATCAATGCAGTTATTTCCCTGCTCTAGGGGACAAACGCATGACCTGAGGAATAACTCCAGGTTCATCTGGCACCAAGGGCAATTCCAGGATTTGACCCTTAGGGGGGCTCGACCCCCAGTAGCGTTATCACTTTCAGTATGTAGAAATACAGGGCATAGGGTCAGGATTCGCCTGTGTCTGGCACCATTTTACGACACTGTGGGTAACTAGCTGTCAGAAGCAATGCCAGGTGCATTTTGGCTGCATACAATTGCTTGATGTCTTAGGGAGGGGAATCGAAGTGACATTAAATCGCTGTCATGTTTGCCTTTGAAAGATCACGTGACACTGCCGGTTCCTGGGATTTCCAGCTTTTCAGCCTTTCCAAACGTGTCACCTCAGACCTCAGATCCTGTGTTCACAAGTTCAATCTCATCCTGGTCTCACAGAGAGTAAAATTCTGACGCGGTCCCCAGCTGGGACAATTAAAAGCTTTTGCCACTTAATTTAGTCACTGTCCAGTCTTGTCGGTTTGGTTCCCGCCCCCAGATATAACAAATGGCCCGGCCATCAGCACCTTCGAGTGAGGTAAAAGCCAGCCTTTTATAAACTCCCCGCCAGTTATTTGCTTTGCGAGGCTTGCGGAAAGAAAAGGGGCTGCTGTGAATGTGTCTCGAAACGGCGGCGTCCCAGTGAAAAGGCAGCGGACATGAAAGAGCCGGGAAAATGAATCGAATGTTGTTTTTTCTCAATGGGGTGAAGAAAAAAACGAGCCGATTGGATCTGAGCTCTGGTTCAGGTGATTCATCACTGGTCCTGACAAATGCATTTTCCACAACATGACAGCAACAATGACCCCATGATTGCAGAGAGCCGATTTGATTGAAAGATAGGCAGAGTATCCTGAGGAAAAGCACACGCCGCTCGACCTTGTCAGAGAATGTAATATCTTAACCCTAAGCACGCCATGTCAAGAGGCGTTTGGGGATCCTGCATCACCAGATCCTCTCCATTTAAATCAGGCAAAACAATTTAACAGCTCCTTTAACGTGAACGAGATGGCTGCCAGTCAAATTAATCGCCGGCTTATTGAAACGTCTCCCCCCTCCCCAGCCCCGCCCCCCCCCACCTGCCATCCCAGCTTTCCCTCTAAGAAGCGTGACACCAAGATCTGAACATGGGAGCAGAGCTCAAGATCACGCCGGACCATCGCCAGCTCCTTCGCTCCTTATAAACAAGGGGAGCATCTTCTGGGGACCTGGTTGACAGCGTTACCCCATGCAGCACATGTTTGACCGCGAGGTTCACCGTGCGTCCGGCGTTCTGCTACGGTGCATCAAGAATTATCCTCCATGCACCGCGAGGCCAGGCAGAGTAATATCAGATGAAATAAATGTTGTGGTAAGTTACATATATGTGCCAAATGGGATATTTACTAAAGCAATTTTTTAGTTACTTTCTTTGCTAGTATGAAGGTTAGTGGTATTATTATGTTTGTAATATTTGCGCTTTAGCTGTTTGCTGTATTTTACTGAAGCCGTTCGTAAGGGGAGAGCAACGCATCTCCTGGGACTCGAACCAGCCACCTTTCTGGTCAGGGCTTAAGCCCCTGTGCTGTCTGGATCCGTCTCACCTGCTTTAATCCCTCATGCAGCTCTTGTATTCACTCGCCCAGCAGAGCGATTGTAATGCTCTGCACGTAGTGACTGCGACATGCCAGACAGCTGTGCAGAGAAACCAGAAAATCCTTATCCCACCCCATCAGACATCAGGCTACCTCCCTGCCCTCCCCCCCCCTTTCCTGGTCAGCATAGCGCAGCAGGCCTGTAATTATACCCTCATCAATACTGGGACCTGCACTTCGTAATGCAGCAATGCAATTAAAACTCCAATCCCATTCCTTTAATGTCCATGCACCGTTATCCACGCTGGAGACGATAAACAGCGATTCACCTGCGCATCACAATACTTAGATGTAATTGCAGGCGATTACTGGTATCCCCGCAGCTGGGTAAAGCCCCAGTCCAACGTCTCCGGCTAAATTACCCCATCGGAGGTTTCACAGGCTGCTGTGGCCCAGGATCCTCATTAAAGGTTTAAACCTGTCTGCTTATGGCGTCTCAGATGTTCAGGTCCCAGATAGAGGGATTGGGACTAAGAACATGCTGTTTACCGCTGTTTAAGGGGAGGACTACAATGGAAGTTTTTTTCTTGTCATGGTAAATGCGTATTACTGACTCAAAGTGTTGTCTATGTTTATAAGTATTAACTAAGAGAACCAATGTTTTAGCCAATAACAGCAATAGAGAATGAAAAGAAGTCATTTACTATTGGGGGGGTGATTACATTTTCTGAGATATGGTTGTCAGCTTGGCTGTGGTTCTTTTTGGACAGATGAACTGATGCAGACGCAGTTACAATGCAGAATGTCAAGGCGACGTTCCGCTGAGTTTAAACCCCATAACCTGACTGCTCTCCCATCAGTGCCATGCAACAGAAACCCAGGGCTGCTGGGTATCAGGGGCGTATATCTGCTCCTTGCTCCTTGGGGACGTTCATTCGCAATTTATGTGGGAGGCGCAGTTCACCGGCTGGCCTCAAGGGGGACAGGGGAGCATTGGGCCCTGTCTGACACTGAATGTTAAATCCGCGAAATGTCAACCCGCCGGTAAATAATGAAAAGCTTGTCATGGCTCTTGCACATAGTGGTGACAATGGGAGGAGGGCGTGGGGGAGTCCAGGGGGGTGTATTGTATATTCATAAAGGTTTGAATATTGGGTATTCAGCAAGGTTTGAATATTGGGTATTCAGCAAGGTTTTCAGGTGCCATTGGAAGCCATGTCAGAAAATCAGTGCCAAAAAAAAAAAAATCAAAGTTAGATGTAAGTTAAAAAAATGATCAATTTCTGACACATCTCTGGTGCACTTCCAGAGTGTTTGGATAACTTGTCTAAAGCTGCTGCTTAAGATTTTACTAATGCAGATGAAGCCCCTACCTCAAGGGTCCAACAGAAACTCCTGTTCACCCCCCCCAATCAGCCTTAGTTTCTAAGTCCAGTGATTCAACCATGAACTCATCCAGTGGCCCAAATCATCTCCTAGGTGATCTGTCACACGCATCGACCGCCTGCATCATGGGGTCACTGCATTGAGCCCAGAAGCAGCAGCAATATTTGGCCCCTGCCGACACACCAGGGCGAGGGTGCCCCCCCCCCCCCGAACCCATCTCCCCCATGCCTGGAACCAGATTGCAGATAAGCAGTTTGCCCATGACCTCTGCATCCGAAAATGTTGCAGGCTCTGGCAGTGTGTTGCAGGAATCTTCTTGACTGAACCCAAACCCAACACGGCAGGTGCCATTTGATGATTAATACGATTAAAACAGATTTTTCTGTCCTCTTTGGCCTTTAAACAAAAAAGAAATTCTGGTTTGCATAATATCTAGAGAGCAAATATCACCTTGGGTAATAAGAAATCCCTTTGGCTAGCTGAATAATATACAACACTATCAATCGGCCTGTCATACTTGTAGTTTAAAGTTACACATCTCCAATAAAGTGAGCAACATTTAATTCACCCTCTAGCATTCTGGGTAAAACAACAGCCTGAATGATTTAGCAGTGTGTCTTCAGATTCCTGAAGATAACGGCTTGGGGATATGTATATACATAATTGCTTACCTGGTATAGGGCCACGGGGACCTGGAAGGACAGGGCATGAGGTTGGGGGGCAGGCTGGATGGGCAATCAGCCTGTCATGAGGCTCACAAAGTGGGCAATGTATGGATGCTATTTCATCAAAGAGTACCAAGCAGAAACATGTCCAAGCAGGGAAGAGAACAAAGAAGGCTCCATACACAAAGGGCCGGACCTGCCACACACACACACGTTTGTATTCATATTTTTGTGGGGTCTGTCCATTCATTTCTATAGGCAAAATCCTAATCTCAACAATGACAACCTTAACTCTAATCCCTAACCTGAACCATAAGTAACCAAACAAACTAGACTTTTGCCCATTTTAGATTTTTATAAAATTGAGGTTTATATTGTGGAGACCTGAAAAACAACATATAACAGGTTTCAGACATTGTAGGAACATGTGGTCCGCACAACATGGTAAATACAAACCCACACAGATTCACAAATGCAGACACACATATATTTACACTGTGATGGACTGGTATCCTGTCCAGGGTGGAGCCCAGCTTGTGCCTTATGCTGACTGGGAAAGGCTCCAGGTCTTCGTTCTGGTCCTGACCATGGTAGCTGGTTGAATAGACAGGTGGGTGGGTGCATGGATGGATGGATAGATGGATGGAGGGTTGGTGCCTGTGTGGGTGCAGTTAAGCATAAATGATTCAAGAGTCCCATGTCTTGAGGCAAACTTTTTCATTAATCGCCGACTTAAAGTGCCACCGCGTGTCGATGCGGCAAGAAAAGTGCTCTGAGGGTTGTTTGTATGATTGAGGTCTCTGCTCAGTTTGCTCAGGTGCTTCTCAGAGTAACGTTCTAGTGTCTGGCATCCTTCACCAACACGCACGTCTCGAAGAGAGCAGCCGTCTGAGCCAGATGTGAGAGAGCAGGATTTAAAAATGGCTGTCACAGTGGGGGCGGGGGAGGAGGGGGGGGGGGCAGTGGAATCAAGCTGCTATTGAGATGATATAATTGCTTCTCCTGCAATAGTCCCACTCTGCAGCCTGGGGCGGGGAGGGGGGGGGGGGGGGGCGACGACACACGGCAGCTTCTTCCTGAGCGACCGGCTCTGCCCAAGCCTGGAGAAAAACCACACGTCCAGCCGTCACATGACGCAGGCGCATCTGCTGTCTGATTAATGGCACGGCGGCGAGTGCATCAGCCACACACTCAGGAGCTCTGAAGACGAGCTGTCCTGCGAGGACCTCTTCCACACTGGCGCAGTGTCGGGGCTCTGCCAGGGGCTTCGGTCTTAATGGGATGGAGCCGAAAAACTCAGTGCCTTTCCTGTCCAGCTCGCAGCTTCGGAAGGGCGCTGTAAATCGCGACGTGCCATTTAATCAGCAGAGAGGCAGACTCCTTCGCCGTTAGGTGTTGAACACGTCACCCGAACCCTGTGCTCCGAGCACTTGGCCCGCGTTGGCCTCATCGCTCTCCGGGTTCTGCTGAGGAACCTCTCAATAAGAATTGCGTCATCGGATTGTAGAATAATGGAATTAAATTTTGACTTATGTGTTCCTCTGTGTATTTGAGGAAACATGAGGCAGCGTCGGTCGTGACATTTCTTGGAAATACCCGTGGGGGGAAAGAAATGTTTTAATGTTTCCTTATTGTAAATTAAAACTCGCATCGACCAAATGGCTTTTATCGGGCGGTCTGTGGAGCAGACGGCGTGGCCAACTATGAGCTTACCTTGAGTTTTATTTGACTACATATGATCCAGGTACGTCCCAAAGTTTTGTCACTGTATGTCGTCTTTGGTTAAGCACACCAGAAAGAGCCATAGGTTTTGACGGAGGCGATTGCTACTGTGTGCCATGCATTTTCATGTTGAAACATGATTCCCGAAAAGGCAGCGTACTCACACCCAGTGATACGCCGCGAATTGATACGCCTGTGTTTTTACAGTCCTCCCGTTTGATCCAATCTGAGGGTCTGAAGGCATCAGAGACTCACAGTTGACACCATCCTGCGCGGATAACTGTCAGGCGTCTGAGGTAATGCGTTCCTCGGCCCTCCATCGGAATTCCTGCCGCCGCTGGAGCAGGGCCGCCCCGTCCCAGTAAGATCACGGATCAGTCAGCGCCGTCCACGGCCTTCGAACAGCTGCTCTCAGCCAAGACGGGCTCACCTGTAGCACATGACGGGCGGGGTCCGCGTCTCTCCAGAGCAGCCTGTCATCAAAGGGCGAGAGAGGTGAGGTGTTATGGGGGGCGGAGGTGCTGCTGGTTGGGGTGGGGGGGTCAACACACTGTCATGACTCGTACGACGCGCCCGCCCGTCAGGAGAGGTTGGTACGCAAGGTGAGGCTTTAGGTGTCTTTTCATTTCCTTGTGCAGGAGAAGAGGGTGCTGTTGTCACTGAGGCAGAGGCGTGTTGGAGCCCGGATGGTCTGGTTGGCGGAGTCCCCCTTGTGGAGTCGGACGGGCCCCTGTCTGAGGCGACCCAGTGCAGAGGCGTGTGGGAGCCCGGATGGTCTGGTTGGCGGAGTCCCCCTTGTGGAGTCGGACGGGCCCCTGTCTGATCAAAGGCCAAGGTCGGCAGGGTCGATGTTTCTGGAGCACGCAAGGCAGGGTGGCGCTTTATGGGCAGGGGGATTAAACATGACCTTCGAGAGTTACTGCAAAGAAAGAGATATCATTCTGCTTCACATTAGTACTGGTTTCCACATCAGGAAACAAACAAAAATCTAGTCACAGTTACAATTATGGCCATACATCTCTGGTTTTTTATGATTATACTATATTCAGTAGTACTTAAATGTATTTTTCTGGGGTGAAAGTTATTGTACCAAGTGAGGACAAATTTTTGCCCACAACCTTTCCTCTGGATTAATAATAAATTTATAGTAAAATCCCTGCGTTTGGTTGGTGCCCCATGCTGGGTTATTCCATGCCTTGCACCCATAGCTTCCAGGATAGACTCCAGACCTCCGTGACCCTGAATAGAGAATGTATGGATGGTGTTTTTAGCAAAAAAAGGAAAACTACAATGAAGAATACTAAAAAACAAGTATACAAAAATCTCACCCTTACACTTCTTGTTCACATAAAGAGTTTTGATCTGAATCACTTGCTAAGAATCCAAGAAGGATGGATGGATGGAGTGAGTTGCTGTCCATTACAATTTCAGGGAACAGAAAATATTTCCCAGGTTATTTCTGAGCTAGCAAACAAACAGCTCTGGTTTTCTGTTTGTTTTTTCCTTCTGGAAATACGTTCATCAAACACACCTACTGAACTTGGTAATTAGCTGATTAAGATGTGTTTGAATAGGGAAATCAGCAAGCTGTGTTGGATTCTGACCCTCCAGGACCAGAACTGGGGAACCTTGGAGTAAGTGAGTCATGATATTGTGCAGCAAAACAAACATGGTAGAAAAGGTATCATCCATCAGTAGCTCTGCGGATTGCCCTCCATCCAGTCAAGACCTTAATGCCGGAGAGATATTAAAAAATGAGATGAGATGAAGTGATCCCTTTTGCCATTTGCAAAAGTACATTGGAATGCTGCTTTTTGCACATCCAAAGCACAAATATGCAGGTGAGAGCAAGCTTGGGGGTTACAGCACAGGATCAGCCACCCTAGCAGCTGGCAGTTAAGGGCCTTGCTCAGGGGCACACAGACATGTGTCTATCCTGTCCAGGCTGGGGCTTGAGCTGGTGACTTTCCAATTACAGGCACCGAGGCCTAACTGGCTGAGCCACACACTGCCAATTATCCCATAACGGCATCACTGCATACGGAAATGTGGTACAATTTAGGTCCGTGCTATTAATACTTAGGAATTAGCATTGCCGCCCCACTGCACCCTCAAAAGATGTGGAAAGAAGCATTTGAAGCAGTGAGACATGAGGCCTGGGAGGGGGTGGAGGGTTTCCGTGACAACCTGCAGATGAACAGAGGACCTGTTGGGATATACGAGGCCACCCAGATCTCAGTGTAACCTGTCCACCTGTGCCTAGCTGAGCGTGGCTCATTTAACTGTTTATTGAGCAGTTAAGAGTTAGTAGTATGTGAGTCAGATGATCATTTAGCAAGTTACCTTAAAGGCCCAACGCTCTCATACTCTGCTAACTGCCATGTCATTGGCCTCTAAAGGCACAAAATATATGCTTTTCCCTCATAACTCAGGACAACAAAAAACATTTTTTTAAATCATCAGAGACCAAAACACATTTTTCCTAATCAGTTTTTCACGCTGATTTCATATCTGTTTTCTGTTTTTTTCTGTCACATCAACTTTTTGATTTATGAGTAATGCTAGTTGGTACCGTAATTGCAAGTATTGTGTACTAAAACAAAAGCAACACTGTACTATAGGGTAAAATATCTTTAGAGAAAAATCAAATAAACAGACAGTGGGGATAAAGACATTGAAAAGTGTTTGTTAACCACCATTGCTTCTTCAAAAACGCTTCGAGTTTGATTGTCTTGTGTATACCATGTCTGGATTGTCACGATACAGCATCCAGCAGAAGTCGGCCATCATGCTTTCACTGTAACCAGCTGCACCTTCTCCATACTTCTCATCACCTTCTACAGAATCAAGACCATCATGTGGCGGTACAGGAACAGACAATGAGTCGTCATGAGGAACAGGCCTGATTGCAGAATCTAGGCTGGGATATGCAATTTTGTGCTTAGTTTTAGCTGAGAATCCACTTGTATTCGTGCGGCAAAAGTAGCAGTCGTTCAGATGGTCTCGCGGTTCCCTCCGCACCATCGGAAAGGTCTGCAGTGATTGGGCGACATTGTGAATGAACCACACACATAACAGAATCTGTCTGGATGATTAATAGAATTTCTAGGCATAATAACAACTGAAAGCCAACACAGTTGATGCTGTCTGTCACCGCCGCCTTCGATTTCCAGGTCGATGACCCAGAATTCAAACTCGAGAGTTAGATTTAGTATTTCTTTTGCAACAATTCGAGAAAATAAAAAAATTGTCGAGAAGCTTACATCAGCAAAACGAATCCTGAGGCACAACTACCTATGTTTCCCGCCAAACTAAGTTGTATAAGACATGGGCATGCGCACTAGGTAAAATTAATTATACTCAAATCGCAACTAGACAAGTGTCAATAAAACATAAATCAATATCTAGTCACCTAGAGAATGGTGATGCTGTCTATGAGATAAAAAACACAGACAACTCTTGTAATACACTTAGGCAAACTGCATGTACATTATATCATACTACATATAGCTTCATCACAAAAACTTGACGTGCTAGAGAAAAACTAAACACAGATTTGAAATCAGCGTGAAAAATACTACAAAACCCACATAAACTTACCTCTGCTGAAAATGACCTGCTAACCTGTGTAATTTTTTCCCCAGAATCCTCACCTGTCTACAAAGAGTAAGAATTATATTCAGATGCACTCATCTGTTTCCTGATAAGAAAAGTCTCTGTAATGGAGATTTATACAAAGGAGTTTGTGAGGATGCTCTATGCCGTATCCTTCATTGACGTCTTAGAGACGGATGCAGAATGTAGTGTAGCAGGAACAGAAAGGTGCTGACTTAGGGATTTAATGAAAACACCTTCGAAGCTGAAGCTCCATATAAATGATACGCCGACATCACATCATCGTTTACATATCAAAGCATTTTGGCATCTTATCATTTTATCACTGCATGCAGATGGAAACACAAGTGGCTCATATCAAATGCCCTCAGCTCAGGACATTTGAGGTTTAAATTAGCAACGATTTGTTTACTCATTTGTTTTTTCTTCCCTTAGATTTCCAGACCGACTTAATGTTAATAGCAGTCCCAGGAAGGCAGGGGGTGGGGGCGAGGGGGGGGGGGGGAATCTCAGGCTGGCCATGGAGCTCAGGCACGGGCCTGGACGTGTCCCACCTTACCCCACCCCCAAAACCACTACAAGTGCCACAGAAAAAGAAGCGGGGTAAAAAAAGATCTATGTATAAAAACATAAACATCTCCCCACCTCCCTGATACCCTAGACAGCTTTATACCTGTTCCTGAGACTATAATTAATACTTTATAGCCTTCTGGATAGCAGGTGCAAGCAAGCTGACCTGAGCGCCAGCAAACCACATGTGAGCTTCTCAGGCGACGCGTATCACGTTCACCCCGGCAACATATATGGTAATTTCTCGCCGACGTGCCAATTACGCGGGCCGAGATGAAGCGGGCTCTCGGCGACTTCACAGAACTTGCCGGCGGTGAGCTATACCCTGTAATGACACCCGCGTGCCACGTTCATCCATTCATTTAATAAATGAGCCTTCAACCTCCCGGCTGTAATCGTCCCCAGGCACGCCAGAGGATGAATGGGAGGATGGCGAGGTGTCGATAGCTCCTTGGCGGGGGCAGGAGGGAGACGGCCCTGTGCCTTTGTTTGCACGATCCACGGTATTTCCTGTTGACTAAAACGGATGCTTGACATCTCTGGACCAGGAGCGAGCTTGGGCTCCCACCGGCAGAAGCTTAGCTGCTCCACTGGTGCGTCTGTCCACAGCTCTTTGGGGATGACCTCAGGAGAAAGGCCCGGGGTTAACTGCGGCCCACCTCCAGGAAAACAGAAAGACGACAGTCGGTGGGCTTGACCTCGCGTGACATGGTGTCAGTTTAGTAAAAGAAAGGAAGAGATGGCAAAAGGACGTCCCAGCAAAAAGGGGTCAGGACCGAAAGTGTGGTGGGTCTGGAGAGGCTGCTTAAGCGGACGAAGGAGGATCACGAAGACCTGGTGGGGGGCGCTGACACACACTTGAGATCGCAAATACATACATACACACATGTACGAAAACAGCTATACGTGTCTCCTACCTACTTCCAAGATTTC